GGGGGGGTGATCCAAAGTTTCCTTCGCCTTATACGGATGTCAGGATTTGAAAAGGAAAAAAAGTGCTGGTATATTCTTGACCTCTAATAGTCGTTCAAAAATCCCATTCGGTCAGCTCGAACGCATCTCTGGTTTAGATCAGTTGGGAACACGTTTCTCTCTCCCTTCTTTAGCAGCATGGACATAGTTTCTTCTTGATCATCTTCAGTCCAACCTTAATCAATTCAAATTGAACCAGGAAAATACGGCGTTAGCAAGCTTTATGCATAAAACGATACATAACAAATAAGCCAGAAAAGAGTATACTCATTGTTGTCTTTCTTTTTCAGTTGCTGTTGTTTAGCTTCATGTTTGTAAGAACAGCAGGCGCTTGAATTGCGCGAGAGCTAGCTTGGGAGCAGGCTCTCATTATTAGCGCTGTAAGATGGGCGTTTTTCCGCCCGAGGGAGGATTGAAACGAGTCGGGGAGAGGTTTGCTGGGGGTCTGGTATTCATTATAGGTGGATTATTAATGATTGTCACGCGAGAACTGGACAAGGGGGTTGGGGATAGAGTGCCAAGGAAACCAAGGAAACAATAGTAACTACACCCTTTTCCCCTTGATACCAAGAACTTCTTGTTTTACTCTCCAAGGACTGCACTGGGCGTTCGGTTATCAAAAATAATCGCCATAATACACAACGCTATAGTAACAGAGGAGTAAAGAAACGAGAGAGGCGTGGGTCAGGGCGCGTAATGAACCGAACCCGTCCCAGACCTCCTTCGCTTTTTCACTCTTCCGCTGCTATAGCGCCGTTTACTACTTCACTCCGTTTTATCAATTGAACGCGTGCAACAGGCAGTACTCTTTATTTATATTCAACCCTTCCTGAGCCCTTGCTTCGCTGATAAGGTGAAAAAAGCCTCTTGAATAATCTGAAATAATTTCACTGTAATCCACCTACCTTCACCGTAGTACAGACAGATGGCTTGGGAATACCAGAGGGAAGCTTGCGGCGCAGGCAGCAAATAAAAATTGCAAAAAGCAAAATGATTAGGAAGATGACACCTGCAATTCTGTAAGAGAAAATGAAAAAGTGAAAATTCAGCACATGTGAGCGGCTTCATTTGGATCGCACAATTTAAACCTAAGATGCTCTTGTAAATCTTAATTTAAAAACTAATGAAAGGATGATTTGTCGACGTAGAAAGACTGAGATAATTTCCTCATCAAACCGAACCGATCCGCAAAACAATGAGGACCTGGACACTAAGTTAATTGTCGGAGTGAATTAATCTAGTGTCCAGGTCATTGTTTGGTGGTCACCGTCCAATCATTAGAAAGTAAATTTATTCACTCACGCTATTCCTACGATAGCACCAACACTCAATCCACTCCCGCCTACATTTGACGAATCAAACCGAATCCCGGCATCCTCTTTGGCATCGAGCAGACATCTTCCTGGACATGCGCACATGCTGTGCAGGGAGGTGTGCTGTAAAGGATGAAAAAACATTGAAACACTGGAAAGGTTTGGATCGTCTAATAAGCGTCCAAAAATAAAGATTACATGAAGAGGCAAAGGAACGCAGGACGATAACGAGGACCGCTTTAAACTTACATAGGACGAGCCATTGACGCTCATGGGGTCGACTTTTCCAACTTCTGTTTCACTACACACCAGGGAAATCGATGTTTTCCTTTAAAGTGATAATTTAACAACCCAATAAGGTTAGCTTTCCACACCATAAAATGACGTGTTATAAGAAACTTCGCACCTCCCCCTCCCCTAACCCAACATCAAGCAAGGGTCATAGTTAGGGTAGGGGAGGAGTAGGTGTGTAGTTCCTCAACTACTGACATAGATCCAAAAAATTAAGGGTTTTAACTCCGGTGTAAATTTGCCATTAGGAATCCACAGACTTCCCGTAGGTTTACTCAATGTGAAAGGGAAACTTCAGTCAACTTGCGAAAAATTCAGAGGAGAGCAGCAAAACAAGTAATACTTACATTCGGTTGTTCCCCGTGATTCCATAAGTCAACATACATTGTCCACTGTTCTCGTCAAGGACGCAGTCCGAGAGATCGCGTTCTCCAATGTTCTTGCGTGACACGTCAGAAAGTGTTATCTGGCTAACTTGACAAACCTGCAGAATTAGGCGAGGTTAGCATTACCGTCACGGATGACTCTAGAAATATTTTGATGATGGCATATCATTATTTAGGCTGCAAGTATGACATCGTTATTGGCACTCGTTGGTGATATGCATCATTGGCGCTTCAGCACGTTTATTTGCCCGCGGGAAATTATGAGGCCTTCAGGCACGCGAACCGACAAGAGGTCCATAAGGGAAGTAACACTGAAAATTATTCTTGCAAACTCTCCCCGACTTGTCTCGCATCTTTCGACGGGCGGAAAAATCGCGCGTCCTGTAAAACTATCAATAACGGCCTGCTCACAGGCTCATTATTATAATATTAATGATAAAATACAATTATGTTCTTTACAATTATCATTATTTATTGATTTTTGTTTTTCGCCATGACCATTTATGATTAGAATTTTATGTTGTCAGCAACACAACAGTGTCGGCTATCCGGAAGCTTAGTGTCAATGTCATTTTACACGTAACTATTGATAAGTCATTTATTCCTTTTGTGTTGCCATCGGCGTCGTCGTCGTCAACGACGATAATCATATCTATCATTAATTTCGTCGTCGAAGCAATCGTTAGCATTATTATCACATCATCATCATACTTTTCATAATCACCACTGACTTAGCTTTGCCTCACAGCTCTTACTAAGAATGTCACGCCACGGTAGTGAGCATTGCGTGACATAACGCCTGAGTACCCCGAAAAGATTCAGTTCCGCCACGCCAACTGACATCCTTCGTTTTTATTTTATTTTTTTATTTTTTTCAATTTGCTCTATGTGCAAGTGTACACTGTGCGGTAAGAGAGGGGGTGTAAGAATAATTAAGCTCTGAAAAAAATTTTGGAGGAGCTCAACTTGCTCAACACGCGTAACTTATTTTATTTACTTCTTTTGCATTGTTGTGTCGACGTGAGGTGCGCATCTCGTCCTTCGCGTCCTCTTTGTTCTCGCTCCACGTCTGCGGCGTTTGCTTGCATGAAATAGCTACTAAGCGACATCGGCCACAACGTGGTAATTGCACACTGAAATCTCTTAGAGCACGAATTGTACGAACTTACTGATGAATCCTGGCAGGGGTGGCCCTGCTCGGTCCTCGGGCTACAGGGGTTCCACAGATAGAAGGTCGACTTTTGAGCGGGACCGGATGCTGAGATGTTGAATCTGTTCGATTATTAGAAAGGAAGTTAGTATTTATATTCTATAGTCTCCCCATTCCTCCCTCATCTAACATCTTGTGTCACGCAGACTTTGTCTGAATCACGCAACTAGAGTACATTGTCATGGTAATTTATTTCCGAAGACGTGACAGAACCATTAACACTGGTAATCACTGGGGTAACAAAAGACACCCTGAAAACTGACCGCGTGGTATGTTTTGACTTCGCAGGCAAAAAAAACATAGGCAAACTTAGACTGCTTACTTTCTCGTCAAAAGGCGTGTTAGAAAAAAACAAATTAAACCAAAAACACAATCTAGATGGACAAAAATTTAAGAAAGAACGGCTAGTTCTCTTTTTGTTTTTGTTGCTAATTTTTCGTTAACGCGAAATTCATGCAAAAATTTATTCATCTCGCGGCAGAATATTTTCAACCAATATTACCAGCGGGAATAATTTACTCCGCTATCTGTATGCAATCGACTTGAAGATAATTTAGCCCGTGAGCAAGCTCTCGCAGGGGGGGGGATGGTCGGCAGAAGGAGGGAAATTCAGAGCCACATGACAAATCAGCGGCATGCTTCAGTGTTTAAACGAGATGCTTCGGCCTAGAAAGAAAAAATTACACACGTCTGTAGCAGCGCTCTGCAGCGCTCGGAGAAAAGGAGATGAAATCCCACCCGGTCGAGAACATTTACACGAATTCATGCTGAGCCAAGGCCGGAGTCAAAGTTCAAGTTAAACATTGGTCTTGGTTTAGCTCTGCTTACAGTGTCGCTTTTTTAAAGAAGGATGTAAATAAATATATGCACATTTATCATCGCAGCTTCTCTCCCAAGTTGAACACTAGACGCAATGCGATCAAGCTGAAGAATAATTTATTTTTCAGTTACGTCTTCTGGCCGTTTTGATGAGGTTATTTCCATACCGAAGCCATTTTGACGCCATAACAATTAATTTCTTCTAATCTTCAGACAAATACACGTGTTCTTTATGCTTATTCAAACTAAAAGTTTCACTTCAGTCGATCTTCTCTAAAACATTTAAAAAACTAACGCTTACCTCGCTCCGTTTGTTTTCTGTCCTGCAACGCTCCAAATATTTAGTTCTCCTTCATCCGTGGAACATCTGCAAGCATCTATCTTTTCGCATTTCTTTACTGCGTGCACTAGAGACGAAGCAGATAAAACCACAGCAAAAGCGAAGATAAACATTTTCATTCTGAGGAATACCGGTATTTTGATGGTTACGAGAGAGCAATTGGATGAATTATAATCTCCTCGTAAAATCTGGTAACACTATACCATGCAGACAACACCCACGTGAACGATGGTCTCACGTACAAAGCGGTATGCAGATTACAGGATCAAAAGCGGCTGGTGTAAAAATAGCGCAGCGGATATCCTGCGTTTTGTTTACAACCAAAGGATTACATACAATCTTAGGATAGTTGCTGATAAAACATTCAGGATGGAGTGAAACGCTTTAAAATAATAGACAAAATGTACACCGATGTCTTGGAATCACAGATCAGATATGTGAGGAAAATCAGTGATATATATAAATGACACGTGTCACACTCGTAAAGCACGATTTGAAACTGGGAAGAGCAACTGTGAGGTGCATAAATTATCAACTCTTGTTTTCTTTGTCTAACACTCATGACAAAACGAGTAAAACCTCTCTTTATTTCCTGATCTGTCACGCAATACAGTACGTGACTTGCTGATGCACTAATGTGACGCAAACACTTTTCTCATGTTTCTATACTTACCAGGTTACCTTTGTAGCAAAAAAAAATAAATTGAGCATTTTTTTCCTCTCTTCTCGAACAATATTGCGTTATCTAGCGGCAATGGGCAGCTAAACTAATACTGTAAAAAATTATATGCCCTCGGCTAGGGCTGATATACAGTAGTCAGATGACTCGAGCAGAAAACCGTGAACACCCAAAAACATGTCTGGAATGCTACAAAGAGCTCGTGAGGCTATAAACGGAAAAACCACAGAAATAACTGGTTTGGTTATTACTCATATAACGTTCAAATTCGTCTTCTGTTCCACCTACAATAGATAACTACCATCATCCGTTCCTTTGGATGGCTTAAGAATTTTTCTAGTGCTGTTATTTGCTATTTTGTTTTTAGAATGTACCGTATTTATTCGGTTAAACAACACCCTCGAATAAACGCCGCATTTTATAGCAGAAATATTAATAAACGCCGCCCTCGAATAAACGCCCGTCAAGATGCGGCGTTTATTCGAATAATAGACTCAAAAGTCACACCACAATCATTGCTTCCATCGCAGTTGGCAATTTTGAGTGAACCAGACACAAAACCTTTTTGCATGTATTGGATTTTATTCACTTTATGTATTGCAGTAGTATTAACATGCAAATAGTGAAATTGAGAACAATATATGAAAATGACTTTTCAGTCAAGCACTAAAACGTGTGTATGTTTTTTTTTTTTAATCAAAATGGTTTTTTTTTAATTAAAATGTTCAGTTACCATACTATCGTTTGTAAATAATAAATTTCCTTTAATAAACGCCACCCTCGTATAAACGCCGCCATCGAATAAACGCCGCGCTCGAATCAGGAAACATTTAATAAACGCCGCGACGTTCAGTCGAATAAATACGGTATGTCATATTTATTTTACATCATTTTATTTTAGGAAGTTTTTACAAAGGATTAACCTCTCAACATCCTTCTCTTGATGCTTACTTGTGCATTTTTAGCTAGCTGCATCTTAAATAAAGTTTGTAGGTTGTGTTACGGCTGTTTCACTTGAAAACGGTAACATAATCCGTGATTGATTCATGCTTAACGTACGTCTATCGAGTTATGAATGCACGCGGGAAGTTTGGAAAGCACGAAATAAGCGTAAGAGTTGCTTTCGGCTACGCCTCGGGTAACTCTAACTTGGAGAGCACGAGAGAAGCGTAAAGCTGAAAGCAACTCTTACGCTTCTGCGTTTATAACTCGATATACACACGCTAAGCATGAACCAATTCGAGTTTTGTTATCGTTTTAAGTGAAATAGCCATCCAAAGGAATAGAAGATGGTTGTTATTTACTATAGTAGAGACAAGACACGTTTTAGCACCACGTGGGTAATGACCAAACCGTTCATTTCTGTGGTTTCTCCGTTTAGAGCCGCCTGATATTTATTGGTCAGTACACAAAATTCCAGACATATTAGGTGTTCACGGTTTTCTGAGTCGCACAGTAGATTAAAACACTGAGAAAGATCTAGATCGATTAAAGTTATCTAAACAATTCCATTTCTCCGATCACCTTCATCGTCACAGTGGGAATTGCTGTATTTATTATTGTTTACCAGTTAATTCATGTCTGTCTATAAAACAGTGTTATTTAGCCAGTTAGCCACACTCATCATCTTATTTACCAAACAGAGAAAAATAATAATCATAGTATAAAGAAAAAGAAGAACAGAAGAAGGGAGAGTCGATTCCCAGTCCATTTTTACACATTTTTGCTCTTTAGAGCCTGTCACGCAATGCTTCTATTACGCACGACGTGACGCTTTCGCTTTGTTCGTTGCGGTGCCAATACTCGACGCAGAAGACAAATCACAAATGCTTCATTTTTTTATCTGTAGGCTGCAGTATTCGTCCATTCCCGGATCGACGGTTGACGTATAAAATGTGTGTAATAATTAGTATTAATGGTTTTCTATGTCATGTAATCGAGAACTGAATTAAAAACGCCTGATCAGATCTTTGAGATGCGCAGTTTTTTTACCGTGGAGATTGAAATGGGTCTTTAGTTAAAAACATCGCGAGAGTTGTGTTGGTAAACCTTGTTTTACCTCAGATTGAAGAGCTCCAGTTTACCCGAAAGAGTATAAAACAACAAGAAGTAATAATAATCGGATGGGTACAAGATATTTACCGAATAATACAATAATAATGATGGTAGTAATAATAATAGTACCGATAATAATATTAATAGCCATAGTTATAGTAACCTTAATAACCATAGAATACGAATCATCTGATTGAAAAAGTCTAGACAACTTTTTACATCAATATTTTAAACCCTTTGACTCCTAAAAGTGACCAGCATGTAATTTCTCCTCACAATGTCAGTCGTGAATCACACAATAAGGTCACGAGAATGAAGGAAACGATCAACAATTTAAGAAGCTTTTGATTGTTAAACAAATTCTCCTTGTCAGCTCCTTAAGAAATGTAAAGAGGACAGTATGGAGAATATGCATGCTGATCTTAGGGTGTAAATGGTTAAAGTAAGTCATGCATCTGGCATTTCTGATATCATCATCAAACGTATTTCATAACCAAGGGGCAAGTAAATTGAAGGAGTGTTTAACATAAGCAGAACATGGCTTTAGGTGTAACTTATCCTGATATTTGATATATGATAGATAAAAAACTTTATAAAATGTGACGTGACTGATGTCGCGTGTCTATGAACTAGCGGGAAAGGCACATGATTCCCGTGAAACTGTCCGTTTGAGTTCAGCTACCTGAGAGAACTTGAATACTTGATTTTCACATATTAATAAATCCTATACAGGTCGTTTGTCTGTTGGAAAAAGAATTCTATTTTGGCGGTCTAAGTAATGCCTAAGAAATTCCCCAAAGATAGGAAAGGGAACTTCATAAGTGTGCGGTAAACCACTTTTAGAACCAAATCTTAACTCAGCGCAATTCAAATCAAGCGCGAGAAAATCATTATGGTGTTCCATCAACAAGTCACGTCATAAATATGATGATACAGTGGATATTTAGCCATCACACCTATTTCTATTCTAACCCGTTGACTCCTGGGAATAATCAGAATGTAAATACTCCTTCTAACTTTTATCAAAGCTTCGAGTAGACAGGTAATGAGAAAGTACACATGATTACCAACAACGTGATGTCTTCTGATTTAACACCAAATTCTCATGAACAACGACCAAAGAAATGTATAGTTTTGATTAGAAGATTTAATTCCAGGTCTTTGGATTTACGAAGTTTAGAGTGCACAGGCCGGTCATCGGACAACAGTCACGCGCTTTTAGCATGGTTGAACCGTCACAGATAAGAATAGAAGATTTTGAGAATGGATAACTCAACACATTCTTTACGATTCAATTGAGTCAGTAAATGGCAATTAAGTTCAATCTTCTCCATCTTTACTCAGAGATTCTCGTAAAAGCCATGGCCAAATACGGGCGGTCCATCGCCGCCTTTAAGACCGTTAACCACCGTCTATTAAGCCTGCTCGCAGGCTCTCGTGTTTCGATTTCGTCGCAAAGCTAGTTCTGTGACGCCCCTATGACACTATCAGAGGCCGCTTAAGGAAAAATTAATTCCAACCCCTTAGCTTTCTTTTTCCTTCCTCGGGTTGTTTTTTGACCTTTCCATCTTTTATTAAACTGGTACAATGTTATTTTCTTCAACTTGAAATGAATTTGGATGTCGCACAAATGACCAAAATTTGTGACCTCGGTCGCGTGACCATGACTATGAACTAACGAAGAGAACATGAGCACTTATCGCATGATTCACACAACGCGGGCTGTTTGATTTCAGAACGCAGTACAAGTAAATTTTCGTGAAAGTCTCGTGTCGGCGTAAATGCCCTTGGAAGGTGTTAAATTTGTAGAGCGATTATGGAAACAGAGTGGCTAATTTTCGATATCCCGTGACAGGTTCATGACAAAAATTATCTTCTCTTGAGATGAACTGTGCGCGTTCTCCTTCAGTCTTCACGCTTCGTGCATAATTGAAAGTCGGCTGCAATGGCTTTTGAGCGGATTCATTTGGTCTTCCTTGGTCTGGCGATTTGTTTTCTGTCAGGCTCTGTTTCTGGCCATGAAAAGAAACTCAAGAAAATAACCTCTTGTCGCTGCTCAATGGATGAGGGAGAAATTGATCTTAGAAAACTAGCAGGGAAAGAAGGCAAGCCAAGGTATAGACATATTATACTACAGTATGTAGGTGCGCATTGACACGAGTATGCTCGCGTACAAAGGCCGCTCGATAAATCGTTGACATGCACCTACTAAAAACAAGTATATTTTGAACCGAAAAAGAAAATTTGGAAATTATTGGCTAAAAGTTAGACGGTGTCCACCGATCTCTTCTATTTCCAGATTTAAAAGTACTTCTTGCCATGGACCTCGTGGGGATGAATCGCTCGAGAGTATTCTTAGCCCTTTTGGGCTTTTTTTGGACTTAGATAAAGAGAAAAAAGTAACAAGGACCACCCAATTGTTTGACTAGGTCGAAAGGCTTATTAATTCAATAGAATAATACAAGGTGATGAACG